TTAAAAAATAAAATAAAAGTCCATGGTTAAAAAAAAATTTTTTTTTAAGGCTAACACGGTGGGATGTACCTGTACTGCAGCACTTGGGAAGTTGAGACAGGGATTGCTGTGAATTTGAGGCAAGCCTAGCCTATAGAAAGACTTTTATAAACAAAGCTTTTTAAATTTTATTTATTTATGGTCTGGAGAGATGGCTCAGCAGTTAAGAGCACTGACTGCTCTTGCAGAGGACCCAGGTTCAAGCCCCAGCACCCACATGGCTGTTAAAACCATCTGTAACTCCAGTACCAAGGGATCCAACAACTTCTTCTGACCTCTGCGGGCCTTGCATGACACGGGTGCACCTACCTACAGGCAAGCAATACACCCATACACATTAAATAAAAATAATAAAATATTTTTTAAAAAAAAAACTGGGTTCAAATCCCAGCACCCACATAGCAGCTAACGACTATCTGTAACTCCAGTCCCAGGGGATCCAACAGCCTCTTCTGTCTTCTTCCTCAGGCATTGCACGACATGGGTGCACTTACTTACAGGCAGGCAATACACGCAATAAACAAACAAATAAATAAAATTTAAAAAAAAGAAAAAAGGAAAAGAAAAAGAAACTAAACTGTGCTAGCTCAGACCCCACCAACAGCTGCAGAGACATTCCCTAACTTACCCACCCCATCCCTTACAGATGGAGACTTAGGCATTTCCAGCCTTTAACTACTAAAACATACCTGCAGCAAACACATCCTTGTACATATCTCTACATACATGCCAAGTATATATTTAGGGAAAACTCCTTGCATTGAAAGTGCTAGAACAGAGGTTGAAGCTTCCTTGCAGAAGGTTGACAGACTTCACCCGATTTCAGAGAAGTTCTTCACATCATCTCTAAGTGCTCTCCAAATACCCTTGACTGGACTTAAAAGGGTGTTTGGAAACCTCTTGAAACTCTATGGAAAATGCTAAGTAGGCATTCATTTTTCTCAAGAAGGAACCCACAGCCTCAGTCACATTCTTACAGGGGCACATGCCTCTAAGAAGGACAGGAACCACTGAGTCAACAATTTCTCACATAGTATCAGAAAGGGTTTCTGCAGATGGAGACACTAAATAAAATCCTGAATTTGTGTTCTTTTGCTCCCTGGAGAGGGAGGGTGAAGAGGCTTGGGGCGCCCACATCTACAAAAGCCCTGTTCCCTTCTCACAGGTCAATCAGAATTGCTTCCAGCAACCACAGGTCCTGTACTAGCCTCTGGTAACTATGTCACATGGCTCCCTCCCTAAGGAAGAGTCCCTTCACAAGGAGGAATGCAACCCTGTGAGGCAGGGGCAGGTTGGAAGGTTCCTGCACAATTCATCTCATTGTTCACAGTCTATGTGGCATCTAGGTCTGAGGGCTAGAGGAAGAGGCAGAGGAATGGAATTTTACACAGTAACCTACAGTCTGGCCTTTGGTCACCACTTATGCCTGTGCTGATTGTGGAGATAATAGTCAATCAAGGTTTATGGCAAACTGGTCTGACCAAGAGGTGGTATGGCAATTCACTGATTTAGGGGAACCTGAACCTTCAAGTTTATTTAGAAAATGTTCTTCAAAAATGGTGTTTCAGGGGGCTGGAGAGATGGCTCAGTGGTTAAGAGCACTGACTGCTTTTGCAGAGGACCTGGGTTCGATTCCCAGAACCCACATGGCGGCTACGAACCGTCCTTAACTCCAGTTCCAGGGGAATCCGAAGCCCTCTTCTGACCTCCGTGGCATTGCACAACACGGGTGTGCACTCACATACATGCAGGCAATACACTCGTATACATAAAATAAAAATAATAAAATATTTTTTTAAAATGGTGCTTCAGAGCCAGGTGTGATAGCATACACTTTTAATCCCAGCACTTGGGAAGCAGAGGAAGGTGGATCTCTGTGAGTTCCAGGTCAGCCAGCACTACGTAGTGAGACCCTGTCTCAAAACAAACAAAAAAAATGATGCTTCAAATTCCTGTAGCAAAATTTCAGCTCAGTTCAAACACAGCCAAATACTCCAGTTCTTCCAACTAAATTTCACACAGCACTCTGACAAGAAGAAAACACTGATCAAAATTTAGTTAAGAAGCCAGATGCCACAGCTCACTATGAACCAGCATTGATATACCAGCAGGGCAGAGCTTGTAAGAGAGCAAAAAGGCTTAGGAGTCCCTGCTAGACTTAAGTCTTGTTTCACAAGTGGCCTAACCTCAACCAAAGACAAGCCTTGGCACCTTAGTTCCTCATCTGTAAAACCAGGTTATCATCTCATCTCAGGCTGAAGAGAGGATGAAAGAATCTAAGTTGACCACTATTCCAAGTCACATTGAGACAGACATCACAGTGCCTAATAAACATCTTCCATACACAAACCCCCGAGGGGTTCAGCTTGAGGAAAATCATGGCCCCAAACCCAAACAACACCTTTTGAAAGTTTTCTATTTAAAATTTTTTTTTTCTTTTTTTGAGACAGGATCTCCCTGTAGCCCCAGCTGTCCTGGAACTCACTATGTAGACCAGGCTGGCCTCGAACTCACAGAGATCCACCTGCCTCTGCCTCCCAAGTGCTGGGACTACAGGCATGCGCCACCATGCCCAGCTTGTTTTAAATTAAAAAAAAAATAAAAATAATAAATAAAATATATATATTATGTGTATGAGTGTACTGCCTGCATGTAGGTAAGTGAACCCATGTCGTGCAATGCCCGCGGAGGATAGAAGAGGCTGTCGGAGCCTCTGGAACTGGAGTTACGGACAGCTGTTAGCTGCCATGTGGATGCTAGGATTCGAACCCAGGTCTTCTGCAAGAACAACCAGTGTTCTTAACTGCTGAGCCATCTCTCCAGCCCCTCTGTTTTAAATTTTAAAGGTATATAATTTTGGTGGCTGGAGATGCAGCTCTGTTGGTAGAGTTCTTGCCTAATATATTCAAAGCTCTGGGTTTGATTCCCAGCATTACCTAAACTTGGCATGGTGGTATACATCTGTAATCCCTACACTCAGGAGGCAGAGGCAGTATGATCAGAAGTTCAAGGTCATTCTTGGTTATAAACATAACAAGTTCGAGGCCAGTCTGGGGTACATGAGACTGAGAATAAAAGTTTAAAAGTTGATATTGTTTGGCTGGAGGGGAGCAAGCAGAGCCCGGGGGAAGGGGTCTCGCCGGTGCCTCACCTGACCCTGCACCCGGCTCTTGCTGCTCTGAGACAAGGCCTTCTCCCTGGTGAGGGGCCCCGGAGCCATGTACATCAAGCAACTTCAATTAAATAATTGGTTTTGTGACAAACTTAACTGTTCAATGTGGCTTTTTGTCATTATAATAATTAAAAACAAGTTTTTTCTTAAATAATATTTTGCATAAGAAAGAATTGCTCTCATTTAAAAGATTAAAAGAATATGGGTCCCTGAAAAAAAAAAGTTTAAAAGTTAAAAAATTTTAAATTCTCCTTCAAAATTTATCTGCCAGTGTTTTAATATAAAAACATGTTCTGAATCCTCAAATATTTAGGTAAAATTGATACCCAAGGGAAAGTTCAAGCCTGTGTGTAGCCTTACACATTTCCTGGCACATGGCCCACATCCCAGCATGGATTCCTCACCTTGATCTCCCTTGGAGAGGAGCATGATAGGCTAGGAGGAAATTTGCTGCTCCTGACCAAACAGCTGAGTGTCTCTAGTAGGGTGGGTGGGTGGATGTTCATGTGTGTGTCCCCTGTCTTATCTGACCAGGCCTTGGCAAGACAACACTCAGGAAGTCAGTGGCTCTTGGGTGGCTGTGATCACTATATTCCCACTACAGTTCCCTTCCTCTCCTACTTAACTCATTTCAGTTGTCCCTTTTTCTCCCCTTCTTTCTCTTTTTTTTGGGGGTGGGGGTGGGGGTGGAGGCAGGTCAGAGTCTCATGTAGCCAAGGTTAGCCTCAAACTCACTATATGGCCAAGGATAACCTTGTACTCCTGATCCTCTTGATGTGCTGGGATCACAGACATGTGCCACCACACCTCGTATATTAGGTGCTGAGGATCAAAACCAGGACTTCCTGCATGCTAGGAAGGTGCTCTAACAGCTGATATCTCTGGTCCTCCACATCCTAACCCTCTGAATTCTGAGGAGACACTGGTATTCACAGCAATACTTGCTGTGTAAGAGAGTAGGGTGTCTGGAGCTAATGGGCAGTGGGATGGAAAGTTGGAAGGACAGCCCATCCACCTGTCAGCTGGAGAGACAGGTGCTCAGTTTTCATGAAAGATGCAGGTTGCTCTGGTCAGAGTGCTCTTCTCCAGTAACAGGAGGCTTTTGGTGCACTGGGAACCACTGCGGGCAGCAGATGTCCAGCAGCCATCCTCTCAGGCCCCGGTTGGCCAAGGTACGAGGATAGGTGAGACTGTCACTAGCAAACACCTGCGGTGCGGAGGTCACGTTAATATAATTCCTGTGTCGGGCACTGTGCCCAGGATATTTGCTACTGGAGAGCACTGACTGGGAGAAGGTAAACTTCTCACAAGAAGGCAAGAAAAAAAAAAGTAGCACAAGTGGTGCTGGACTGAGTGTGCTCCAGGGAGTACTAAGTAATAATTTTTCCTTAATGTCCCAGTCAATGCTTGGCCTCACTAAGTAACTGCTGAGACGTGGCATGGTCTGGGTATGGTGCAGGGGCTCACCTAGCTGCGCACATCCCCGCAGTCCCGCGTCCCAAATCAGTCCTGGGTGCCGTGCAAGGCGGACAGGAGAATCGTGCCTGGCTATGGCACTGGGTCCAGGAGCCCAGGACCCCGTGTGGGAGCCCAGGAGCCGCCCTACAGCCCAGAACCCCCCGCCCGAGCCAGGAGCCCGCACCATAGCCCGGGACCCCAGGGCCGAGCCCAGAATCTAGCCCTATGGCCTGAGCCCACGATCGCGGATCAAGTCTAGTCTCCAGTCCCGAGCCTAAGAACCCCCCAGCCCCAGCTCAGCCGGAGCCCAGGACCCCGCTGAGCCCCTTACCTCCGGTGCAGAGCCGGTGCGCGTCCTCTGCGGCAGCAGCGGCCCCACCCTTGTCCCAATTGGCGGCCCCGCCCCGTCTTGGGGTGGAGACTGAGCCTGAGTTCCTGGTTGTCCCTTTGCCCACGCATGGCAAGTCGCTCCCCAGAGGAGCTTAGCAGGGGCCGCGAGGCGGGGCTCCCTGCACCCGGCGGCCCAGCACAGCCAGACCCCGTCCTGGAGCGCTCCCGGGACCCCGACCCGGTACACCCCAATCCCACTTGGGACCCCGCACCGGACCCCCACACTACTCTGGACCCCGACCCGGCACAGCCAAAACCCACTCGGGACCCCGCACCGGACTCCGACACCGCGTTGGCTCCCAGCCCCACACTTCCAGACCCCACCAGACCCCGACCTCGCCCAGCCACACCCCACTCGGGACCCCCTCCCCAGGTTCCCGGCCTCAGGCCCTGCAGGGGTGGCATATCCCTCCAGCCCTCAGCGTCCCAGCGGGGCACCCCGGGGTCTTGATGCCCAGCTCTTCTCCCAGCCTGAACCATCTGCGGCCTCTGCACGCTGACTCAGCTAGCCTGGGCTGGAAAAGTGGAAAGAGACACTGAAGACGCTTATTTCCTTATTTCAACTCATGTTCCAGAAAAGTTCGCAGCAGTTCCAGTTCTCACTGGGGGAAAACAGTTCCAGGTGCCTGGTACAATTGAAGTCTGTCTGCGGGTTAGCTCCAGTGCACCCAACCTTGGCTGCTAAGGTTGCTCCAGAGCTGTGGGTGGCTCTGGGTTGGCCTGGGTGCGGTGCTTACTCCTGACCTGGCGCTTTTAAGCAACCTGGTGGAATGCTCAGTGAATGCTTGACGATCCAATCTGCTCATCTGCTGGCAAACTGATTTCACTGCACAAGTCTAGGTTGCCTGAGAACCGCTAAATTGTGTCAAAAACTTGTAGCTAGAGGAAGTGGCTTACTGTGATAACCTGTGTTTCTGGCCTGGAGAACTGGCTCAGCAGTTAAGAGCACAGGCTGCTCTTGTAAAGGACCTGGGTTCTGTTCCCAGCACCCACCTGGTAACTAACAACCAGCTGTAACTCCAATTCTAGAGCATCTGATACCCTCTTCTGGGCTCTACAGGCATCAGGCACACACATGCATGCAGGCAAAATACTCATACACATAAAAATAATCAATTTTAAAAGAAAAAGAGCAGTTGTTTCAGGATACTCATTTGGATTTGGAGTTGGGCCTATCCTTTTATGTTTTTGTTGTTGTTTTTTGAGACAAGGTCTCCTTGTAGCTAGGGGTGGCCTAGAACTAACTCACAGAGATCCACCTGCCTCTGTCTCCCGAGTGTTGAGATTAAAGGTATGCATCACCAAGCCCAGCCTTTGTCCTGTTATGTCAGAGAACCTAAGTGTTTCTTAGAAATTCACCTTGAGGAGGCAAAATTAATGGGACAACAGAGAGATATAAAGATATTTTACTTCTTCAGGAAGATTCCAGATCTAAGACAGGGCTTTCTTCAAAAAATATTTATTTATCTTATTTTATGTATATGAGTGTACTGCCTGTGTCTAAGTAGGTACACCCATGTCATGCAAAGCTCATGAAGGTCAGAAGAGGATGTCAGATCCCCTGGAACTGGAGTTACAGACAACTGCTAGCTGTCATGTGGGTGCTGGGACTCAAACCTGGATCCTCTGCAAAAGCAGTCAGTGCTCCCAACTGCTGAGCCATTTCTCCAGCCCTGAAAGGGCTTTTCAAAATAGAATTGTTGGGCCAGGCATGGTGGCACACGCCTTTAATACCAGTACTTGGTAGGCAGAGGCAGGCGGGTCTTTGTGAGTTCGAGGCCAGCCTGGTCTACACAGTGAATTCCAGGACAGCTGGGACTACAGGGAGACCCTGTCTCAAAAAGACCAAAAAAAAAAAAAAAAAAAAAAAAAAAAAGAATTGTGGGACTTAAGGACTCAGGGAGCCTTCACATGAAGATATCAGAATGAATACATATATTTAATTCAGATCCCTCTTGAAATTGAAGTAAAGCAAGAAGACATGTCTTTAACTTTTTCCTACAACAAAAGTGGGCATGATGATGCACACCTATAACCCTAGCACTGGGAGGTGGAGGCAGAAGGATCAGGAATTCAAGGTTATCCTCAGCTACATAGAAAATTTGAGGCCAGCCTGTGATAGGTAAAACCCTATCTCAAAGAGGAAAAAAAAAATCTTTCTTATTTTATTTTATTTTATGTGTATGCATGTATTACCTGCATGTAGGTAAGTGCACCTGTGTCATGCAATGCCCACAGAGGACAGAAGAGGCCGTCAGATCCCCTGGAACTGGAGTTATGGACAGTCGTTAGCTGCCTTGTGGGTGCTGTGATTCAAACCCAGGTCTTCTTCAAGAACAGTCAGTGTTCTTAACCACTGAGCTATTGCTCCAGCCCCCGCCACCCCGAAAAAAAAAAAATCACAACAGGCCTGTTATAACAGGCCCTTGAGTATAGTTCAGTGGTGAAGCACAAAGTGCACAAAGCCGGAGTTCAACCCCAGCACCACATACAAACACCTCCCAAAGATGAGGGAATAAGAGAGGAAAAATAACAAAATGTTGGCAATGGCAACTGGACAGCATGGGAGCCAGGTGACATTGTTTTAGCCAGCCTGGGAAATTGGAGTCCCACCCAGCTGTGAGGAAAGCCAAGAAGCCCTATGAAACCTGATCTTCTGGGCTTTCTCAAGGACTACTGGACCAGGTGCTCCTGAAAATGGATACACAGGTAAGGCTGAAATCAAAGGCTCAGTTGGAAGCCTGTTCTCACAGTCCCTGTCCCTCTGCTGAGCTGTCACCACCCCTCTTTCACAAAGCAGAAGACTTGGAAGATTGGAAGGCCTTTCCTAGCCGGGATGGAAAGGAGCCCTGAGTAGGCTGCCAGAGGAAATCATGGCCCTTTATCAAAGGCACCCTAATGAACTTGATGCCTTAAAACAACCACCATTCTATCATTGTCTTCTAATCACGGTTTTGTGAGTCTCTGCACAGGGCTGGGCTGGGCGATTCTGTTCTTGTGGTGTCCATGAAGGCCGCTTGGTGGAGGATTTGCGCATATGTTGGATACTGTGGTGAGGGAACCAGGAAGAGTGGCTTCCAGTGACACCATCCACCAAAGCACCCACGTCTGCTCTCTCTAAGAGCTGTCTCAGGGTAGTCAGAGTTCCTATGATGGGGCTTAGGGTTTCCAGAAAGAATAGTCTAAGGGATCCAGGTGGAAGTTGCTAAGCCTCTTATTAACTAGGTTTGGAGGAGACTGAACATTATTTCTGTTGCACTCTGTTCATCCTGGGAGTCACTAAGGCCCAAGAGACTTCTGGGTTCCACTTTGGGCTCCAATGCATTTATTTGTATGGGTATATATACACATGCCTGCAAGGAATCTACAGCCATCTTTAACCTATGGTACGAGATTAACACAAGCCAGGGGCTACTCTGTCTTGAAAATGAAATTAAAGATGTGTTGTGTTGTGTTGTGTTGGTTTTTAGACAGGGCCTCCCTGTGTAGCCCTGACTGACCTGGAACTTGCTATGTAGAGCAGGCTGGCCTCCAACTCACTGCCTCCTGAGTGCTGGGATTATAGGAATGTGTCATCACAGCCCACCTGGAGTTAAGATGGTAAATACCAAACTGCTCAGTATTCTTCTTCTGTTTGGCTCCTAGGACACTGCCCTTACCTTCACTGGGTTGGGAGATTGGAAATTCTTTTCAGAAGAATCTAAGTGCAAAGACCTAAAGAGACCATTAGCAGTTACTCAGAGAAGCTGGAGCATCGTGTTAATAAACAGCCCTGTCAAGACCTGCCCAAGGGAACAGGCATCAGTGTTTCCTAGAAGGCCTGCCCTGCTCACTTGTGGGGCTGCCTGACAAAATCCTGACACTTAAACTTACATTTCAACCAGACATAGTGGCACATGCCAGTAATCCCAGCACTTGTGAGGCCGAGGCGGGAGGATGAGGAGTTCAAGGTCACCCTCAACTACATAGCAAGTTTGAGGCCAGTCTGAACTTGAGATCCTGTTTCAAAAAAGAAAATTCTGAATTTCAGATACGTACCAAATATTTTTTACAGAGTGTAACATTTACATACCACAAATATGTCTTAAATATTGCATGGGGCATACTTACACTAAAAATTGTTTGTTGTGCACCTAAAATGCAAACTTAGCTAGGTTTCCCGTTTTGTTTTGCTAAATTTGGCATACTTAACAGACAGTCAAAGGCCATCAGAATTTAATGGAAGGGTCTAATATGAAAGGTAGAACCCAAAACATATAAACAAGAAAAAAAGAAGTTGGAAGAAATAACTACAAAGAAAATTTGGAGGACCTATTACTAATCTCCCCTTAGAAATAAAGTTAGGGGGCTGGAGAGATGGCTCAGTGGTTGAGGGCACTGACTGCTCTTGCAGAAGACCCGGGTTTGATTCCTAGCACCCACATGGGTGCTGAGCCATCTCTCCAGCCCCAAGGAACAAGAGCTTTTCAATTTAAAATACAATTGGGAAAAGGAAGAACTTGGGCTGGTACTTGCCACCAAGCTTGATGACCTGAGTTCGAGAACCAGCTGCAAGTTGTCCTGTGACCTCCACATGCATATGCTGCACAGTGAGCATTCATACCAACAGAGAGAGAGAGAGAGAGAGAGAGAGAGAGAGAGAGAGAGAGAGAGAGAGAGAATGAGAATAGGTAAATAAATGTAAAATATTTTGTTAAAAGGAAGAACTTGACAGCTGGGTTAGGTGGCGCAAGCCTATAGTCCCGGCCCTTGGGAGGCAGAGACAGGTAGATGTCTGTGAGTTCAAGGCCAGCCTGGTCTACATAGTGAGTTCAAGGCCAGCTGGGGCTACAAAGAGACCCTGTTTCAAAAATACTCCCCCAAAAAGAATGTGTTTGAAAATACCTCAGAATAGACAGACAGCAGAAATACCCTCAAATGTGTGGTCATCATACCTCAGTATCTTCAGGGGATTTTTCCCCCAGCCGCTGTAGATGCCAAAATCTCTGGATTTTCAAATTCCTCATTTTATTTTTT